TAGTGATACTTTGCTTTATAAATCACTTACAACGTTTCATGTGATATTATAACATACAGATTGTATTTAATGTTCTATAAAAAAGTTAAAAAATATTAATTATATTGAATCTTTTCTCAATGAATCGTATCGATGTTGAGAATTTGTCAAATTATACAATGATATAATCTAGAACCTGTATTTAAAACTTTATAGACAGAAAGATGTTGCCATTTTACTCTATGCTGTATCAGTTTGAATAGATTTACAATTTTTACAATATATGGCTACCTGTGTAATGTTTGTCGAAGTGTTACTGAGTAGTAGTAACCAAAATATTTACGCTCCAAGCGCCCATCTTGAAAAGTAGCTGAGCATTCAAGTAAGACTGAGCCTACAGTGATAATACCTTTTGTTCATACCAAGGACATTCAGCTTTGTTTCCCTTTGTTGTCTCGATTTGATGCATAGGCGTCTACCTTTCAATAATTGGCGCTGGGAAATGTAAGAAATGGAGAATTCAAGATGGCGGATAGTAGTTTTACTTTTACGCCCGTTTTCAACTAACCCTAGGGAAGCAGGGTAGGTTTAAAAAGGTTAATTGTGCCTACTAGAGTGAGTTTATGTTGACCAGATGAGTTAAAGAATCATAACCAGCCTCCGTACCTTGCGAACCGAAGCGCCATTTTAGGTCGACACGAAAATGGCGGATTTGTAGGATTTCTAAAAAAAGTGAGCGCAAATCGTCTTCCGTCCTTTCAGTTTGGACAGAAACACCACTAAGTACCTCACAGGTACTATCAATCTATAATTTATTGTATGCTTGACGCATTTAAACGTATGTAAACAATAATACGAGCGCGCAAGGTACGACGGGTGGTTATGATTCTTTAAGTTAATAGTTACAGTAGACTTTACTTTTTCTCATACTTTTTCTCCTGCTCTTTATAAATAAGTGCCAACAAGAGCAAATTTACACGATCCACTGAAATTCAAATTATTAGATGTGTTTTACATTTGGTAGTTCATATTCACAAAGCTTCTCAAACACTTCGTTTTGCTTGTTTTGGATCCTTCTGGTATCATCCTGCTGGGTCACAGTCTCCCTCGGTCATAGWCAGGAAGACAGGAAGCCCAAGATATGCCAAGTATCGCTAGAGAAAAGTGCGAAAAGAAAGAGAGACGTCCTCGGATGGGGCTAACATTAAAAGCCGTTCAATCAAATGAAATTCTCAAAATCGTGCTRTTTTAGGAAAATTCACATTAGCAGCTTGTTATACGAAATATGATGGAATTTTAAGATGGCGGACGTATTGATAAAACCATGATATCCTAAAACGACTCTCTAAACAGATTTCCATTTTATCCAACCTTAACAAACTGTTACAACCTGTTGTAAAAGGGTCAGAATTAATAATCCACGACATTATATTTTTTCCAAGTTGCGCAAGCATGCCTTCCTAGCTTACAAGTTCCTTCTAAAATGCCCGGCTATACTTAATACAGACGTTTGAGTAAACCTYAGTTTGTTGGTGTTTTCTGGAGTTAACCTTGCTTTCATACGTGGTTATCGCCTGCACTACGTACCTTGAGATAATCACGCGTCAAACAGAGCATGCGGTATACACTACTATTTCAAAATTAAAATACAAAAATTGGTAATAAAAAAGTCTGATACATTGAATGGATTATTGACATTRTTTGGCTGTTCTTCCAAAGTTAGAGGATCAAAATCAAACGGTATACCTTACGAGCTTTTGTCTGTATTTTCAAAATGAAAATACATCGTATATTATAATATAAGCAAAACCTATATATAATAKAACTCAATCGATCTGAAGCCACGAACGACCCTCGTCCAAATTAACATTCGATATATATGTCTTCAACTTTGATCAAATAYTCTTTTTTGTGTACACTCCACGTGCAGTGAATGGTTGGAACTCGAAAAGAAGTCAACTGATTTGCCAGTGTCGTTAATACAGATGCCCTGGGTTGACACACTAAATGTCTTGTTAGACAATAAAAAATGATATGAAATCAAACCAACTCGGTACTATCATCCAACATGTGTTGATTTTCTCCTTACAAAACCAACAAAACGAAGCGTAAGATTATCATTCATCGTTAAAAAAACAGATTTTCAATTTGAGTGAGTCCCACGAGCTTTACCGGCGAGCTTCATTTGCTAGTTGACGTGTACAAATTGAAAAACACACTTCGACGATCAATGTAAATAACAAGCAAAGGATGAAAAAGTAAACCCAGTACTTCCGGTACGACTTGTACAACGAAATAAACCCAGGAAGGAGTACAGCCTACTCGTCATGTAGCGTTTTTGGATACAGCCAGAGATTCTTCTTTACAAAGGTGAGTATATTAAATACGATTTTTTTTCTCCGATCAGCTAGAATCATCATTGCGAAACATTGAGGGCATCAATTCGATATTTTTTTTTTGGTTGAAGAGATAGAACTCGTGTGCTAACTTCATTTCAATGTTTTTTTAGAGGTAAAGAGTTTAGTTTGGTTATCTTTAGCTTATAGTACTTTTTCTATGGTTRAATTCGCAGGTTTGATAAGCATATCATTCAACCACAGTAAGTACTTTAATGTAAGTAATTAAACTAGCACACTACCCGGCACTGAACAATTGATTTTCACTATTTCATACTTCTTGTTATGAAACARTGATATTTTTGAAAAGTTTCATAATCATTTAGACGATTTTTGAACACAAACCAATTGGCATTTCATAGAGTTCGCTTCAGTTTTTTCCACTGGTCAGTGACCAGGTCTGTATATATTATATGGTCTAATAATGACGGGGCTATAAAAAAAAAATGCACGTCGAATGCCGCTATGGGATTATATAATCGATAAATAAGTCACTACAGAACATGGGAACATATAAACTGATGGAAAATAGTTTTGAAAGTCGATTGAGTGAATTTTGCAGTCGGTACTGCCAAATATCCGCACTAGGTTACGGTCGTGCAAACTCTCCATTGTGCTAACACACTTACAACCTTGTAGTCAAATATCTAATTTTCATCACTCAAAAATACTGTTCCCTTTCAAGACTTTTTATATATATTTGTATTTAATAKCATTCATTGCTAAGAAAGCATGTCAGAGGTAGTGGATGTACGTACTTTTAGACCACAGCACAAAAAAAATGGTACTAACATTTATTTGACATTTCAGTTTAGAGACTGTCTCAACATCGATTTTCATACACCTTATCTGCGAGAACAAGGTTTGTATTCATTCCTTATTCATTATCAACGAGAAATCTGTGTYTTAATTAAGAAAACTATCGATACAACGCGCTTCCTTTTAGTTCCCACTTGAACTCCAATTAATTTAATTAATTTTTGTTCATCGTGAAACATTTGYGGTCAGAATTTGAAACGTATGTTTTTCACGTTTTGATGAAAGGCAACATTTCATATACGAACTTCTTGGCTTTAGCAACGCGAAAAGTGCATAAATTCATATCAAAAATGTTTTTGACTRAATGAGCACTCATTTCAATTGCGAAGCTCACGATAAAAAACACGCTTATTGTACAATGCCAGGCGTTTATTACACAAGTCGTGTTTATCATTCATCATTTTTTCATATGTGCACGACATATTTCAAGGATGTATAAAACTAGAGAATAAATCCATATTTACACACGATATTTTCCATTTTTATTTTGTTTGTGAAAACATTCTTAAAGTAGTATATCTATTGTCGGAGATGGAGCACGCTGGTCGCTTGTTAATTGTACAGTGCAGTGGCGGATCAAGGATGTTCAGTTCACACTGAATAATAAAAACACACAAATCTTTATCTTAATATAAAATACAAAGTCATGAAAAAAAACAACAATTAAATTGATTGACAATTGACAATTTGATTGATAGGTTGATGTTTAAGAAATATTTTTTTTATTGATTTTACTGTCTAGAAATAATAAAGTAAGTCAATTGCATTTTTTTCTTTCTTCCTTTTCTCCCTTCCTTTCCTTTCTTTTCTATTTTAAAATAAGTCTTTAACTTTATAAATAGCCATAAAATTAAAATAGCAAAAATAGCGTCAACAATATTACCAATATAACAACTGTGGATTATACCTGCGTTTACCGTATTCGATAACAGAAGCACAAACTACGTAAATCAATCCAAACAAAAGACCAAAACAATGGGGCAGAAGATAAGCAAGACCACAAAATACAAAGAAATGTAACCGTAATAATTGTGCTACACACAGAAGGGCCCTATTATTTTGCCAATATTGTTTATGTCTGCTCAATTATCTTTCCTTTGATAGGACCCCACAACTAGGAAACATTTGTGTTTGTGGCCTGCTTGCGGTAAGGACTTATTTATAAATTCTCCTTTGGTCTCTCATTTAGGCTGGAACCACCTTAAATTCTTGGTGGCCAGGTCTCCATAGCAACACTCCTTTTATAAAGCGGATAGATTGATTGAAGGACTCTCAAATTTCGTTAATATTCTGATGACAAGCGTAAAGTTTATATCACCGAGCGAAAGTGTCACTTAGAACAACGAGTGTTCTAGTTCCTGTAAAATTCCTGGACAATATTTGCTGGTCAGTCAACTCCAAGCAATCGCATGACCTGAACACTTCGTACTGCAGGTAAAATTTAAGTTAGAAAACTGCTTTGTTGTGCCTGTCATGTTTGAACATATTCTGACTCTTTGCAGCTGTATATTCTGGGCTTATTTTATATATGTAATATCAAAATAATCCACAACGTAAATTAATATATCGCCCTGCCAAATGGCTCTTGTTTCGCTTTTGACCTTTTCGAAAGTCGATTGAGAAGATGAAATACTATAGACGGGCCAGGTATCAATGATTGATAAGTTACATATATGTAATGGTTTCTTCAAGTGTTTGATCCTATTTCAAAAATACAAAAGACTGTAGAGCTAACGCAAGTAATGCATTACATTTTATCAACCTCATTGTACTATTTAAGGCGATTTACGAAATAATAATGTTCGTAAGAACGAGTAGCAATTCAAAGAACCTTCCGGTTCAAATTTGTGCTATTTTGATTTTGTACAATTTCACGAATTCTAAAAACATGTCCGCTGTTTTATATCTTTATTTTCCTATATAATTATACAGCATTATGATCATAATTTCTGCATATTGATGTATTAGAAAGTATAACAGATGGTCTTTCATGCTGTCTTGACCCTCTTAAAGCTAATCGAGCGCACTTGTGATGATATATATAGGTCATATAGGATTTCATAATAACTTGCTGTGCGGGATTCAGTTCAAAAAGTCAATGATCAATAGCCATGCTGCTGAATGASATCTTCAGGCGATTGATCAATAATCATTGTACCCGTTTGATTGTACATAGTAACGTCCTTAGACGAAAAGTCTCGCTTTCTGGTAGGCAAAGGTTCTCGAAACGTTCTGTTTTATGTATTTATATATATGCATAGCCCACTTTAAATGCTTTAGTCAGTTGACTAACTGCACATAAAAGAACTGAAGACGAGGCTCCGGGAAAAATTGTTCTTTTGTTTCCCCTGAGCCTCTTCCTCAGCTCTTTTGTGCAAGATCATTCAACCAGAATAGCGAAATATTGCCCTTACTATGACGTCACATTAATTGTTTACGCTAAGGATTATGGTCGACAGATGAGGACAGATTGACGGTTAGACAAAGAAAAACGACGAAACTCGCATTTAGTGAACAAAGCTAGAGACGAATAGTATCGTCAAAGTGTTTGACATTAATGGACACATTCAGAATTGAAAATTGTCACAACAACGCAATGAAGTCATTATTACACGGGTTTCCTGTGGAGTTCTGAACCAGCGCAAATTGCCACAGGAAGCCCATGTATATGGTCTTTGATCATCTTGTGTACGATGTTCATTTTCAACTTAAAAGCGTTATCTAGAGATTTATTGTTTAATATATATCCCTGGTCGCCATTTGGCTGACCGACTTGAAGGGGTTCAAGACCACTAATGCAAAGAGAGACATTTCGTTGACATGTTCTATCCAAGAGCACTGACAATGTTTTCTGGATAAATATTTGTTGAATAACATGGTATTGTTTCAACGTAAAAAATCTAAACAGTTCTATAGCAGACTTTGAATAATAGTCAGTCAATTTCTTCGTTTTCTGACCACCCCGAAGCCTCGCTATTCAACCATTTGACTGACACTTAGAGCAGTAGAAAGTGTTATCAGTTTGACGTTACAGTTTTTTAGTCTAAGAAATGACTTGTTTTTGATGCTAATATTAAAGAAAAAGAGGAAATTGAAATAAGAAAGTAAAAAGAGAGAGAAACAAACAAAATAGGCGGAATGGGAGAAATAGTTCAGAAGAAAATGATAGAATTATAGGAATTAAATTTGCAGTTGTAAACGTAAAGACTGGAAGTAGAATTCTTTTATAGACGATTCCTTGTCCTATTTCGAACCAGATAATTTTAATGTTACCGGTAATTATTGAGTTCGCGACGTTCGTGATTTTCGACCTTGTCTACACTGATGAGTTATCGTCGCATTTTATCTTGTTTTCCATCTAAAAGAACAAGGAAGCAATCTTCTTTAACTCGACTTTATGATTGTCATTATTTTATTCATTATCATCACATTACGACTATTCCATTCACTAATTATCGGCATCACTATCATCATCAACAATAATAAATCACTCAATTGCACGAAGTAGTCATGGATAGTCGCGAATATTCGTACATCATCTGCTGTAGGTCTGGGTCAAACGTCGTAATTAACATGAGCTGTATCCGATTTTTAATTAAGTTCAAGTAAAATGCGACGTTTGATTTATTTTGGTAGTTTTTAACAACATTGTGCGTGGCCATCTAGTACTGGACTTTCTAAACGTACCACACACATTGAGCTTTTGAGCATTTTTTTTAAGCGATTAATCATGACCTGGMCTAACTGATCATATAATTTCAATTATTCTGTTTTTTGATGTAGAAGTTAATTAAGTACKCCGTTTGACCCAAGCTTTAGGTATTAATACAATTAATCCACAAGGATTTGGCATTGGAATTACAGCGGAAAGTTAGTTTAAAAAACTGTTGTTGTATTGTGAAATCACAGTTTTTACTGAGTATCAGTTTTGCGTGATTTTTTAAAATAAGAAGCAAAGATTGGGATCTTCGATTCGATTCGATTCAAGCGCGCTGGTAATTATTACTAATCAAATATCCAATCTTATATCTGCTAACGAGGYTGAATATTAGATAGGTGATCGCTTTTATGTAAAGATATCTAGACGCGGTTTTTTTTTTCATGTTGTAATAATCACTCAGGAGTCAATCATGGTTCTTATGTAAGCATTAGATTTTTTCTTGTTTGYTTATGGTCGACTATATGTAATCGCGTCAGGCCCACTTGTTACATTTCAGACATGGCGGAARCATTCTAAATCACGATTACTATTTCAAAATAAATCCTCTCTAGYAAGGACAATCGTTTTAGACTAGAAGAGCTCCTCAAGAATATAACACTTTATCTTTCGGTAGTATTTACGAATTATTATATAAGTATTAAAGAACTTTTTGAGACACTATTCTTGTCATCAGTAMGTTCTGCTCCACTTAGGAACTCGTTCCCAAAACAAACCTTTCACACTGAGGATAAGTTGTTTTTAAATCTGAAGTATCTAAAGAAAGCCTTCATTGTTTTTCTTCCTTTTCAAGACAGCTTCAAAGTTTGTCATGCCCAACCGAAGGTGCTACGTACATCTGCAATATTATTAGTCCTCAACTCCAAAACTTTTTATCCTTCTAACTGTTATATTCATATCGTCTTCTTTCTCAATAAACAGCTCAAATACTTTTGCTAAGTCGTTGCTAAAAGAAATTCTGTACTAATGTTGTTGTTATTTACACAAGCGCATAAAAGCGAAGGTCAAACATGTTCTGATTGGYTTTGCTGGCCATTAGCATAAACCACGGGTTTACTATGAACTGCAGTCAACATTCTTCTGTAACATTAGTCACTATTGGTAGGAAAACTTGATCTTCTGGCGTGCTAAGGCCTATATGCACGAGTAATAAGTATAGCATTGTATTCCCAGCTCGTGTGGGTGATTTAAGAACGGTATTGGTGCCCGGCTTGTGAAGGTATGTGCTCAGTTCTTTGTTTCTTTCAAGTCACGATAAATGTTTACTCGYGAGTCTTGTTTTCAAAGTTTAGGCGTGTGATTATGTGATCGTGTTTCTTGATTGAACAGTGCTGTGAATAATATTCAATATTTGACGTCGTGTCATCTTTCTACGTCTTTTATGATGTTATTTCGTTCAAACCCTTTAAAAAGAATTCACTTTTGTGCAGTACAGTTGCACAGCATCAAAGTACAAATGTTGCAGTTTGCAATTGGGACCACGTATTAAGTCTTTTCTATGGACATCTTAACTTCTTTTCTGCATAACTATTATCATTCTAGGCTCATTTTTCATGTTTATCTTTAAGTATACCAGTTTTGTGAACTTGATATCTTTTGAAAAAGTAGACATGCGCGATTCACTTTAAGAATCGTGCCAGAGGAGACTTGAAACTATATTGAAAAGTATATGTATCATGAAAGCTATACCTGCCATTATAGATTTTTTCCGCAATTGGCAACAATGTATTGAACGTATTCACATCATGGAGCATACAACTTTTCCCGTGGTGGCTCATTTACAATTTATTTTCAGATTGACATTGACTTGAAAGACTGAGCTTTGTTTGAAACAAAGTTTTGTTTGCAGTGTGACTGCTTAGCAGTAAATTTGTCAATTCCTTCCGAGTCTTTAGACCTTTTGAAAAGATKATTCCACATATAATCCAAAACCTATTACTCACTCTAACTTCATCTCCTATCTAACTATTTCCTAACTTCATGATATCATTTGTAATGYTCCAGTATTCCTTAATTTAAGATTTATTTAAGTTTTCTTTGAAATAAWGGAAATTGTATTATCCATTGGCCTTTGTTTTCGACTTTTCTGCAACGAAATGGACTTCTGCAAAGTTTGTTTATTAGCCAGTACCATAGTTATAAGTCAACACAACTGCTTCAACGTGGTGCAGCCGATTTAACTRTAATCGCTCTTCAARTGASTTCTAAACGACTTTTCAACCGGACTTCGTTGACACTCGTYTATTTACCATTTAGCTCAGAGAATTGTGCAACATGATTGCTTAAAAAAGACTGCGAATCGATGGAAACTACATTGCTTAGATGTATTGTACGTAKGCTTTTCTCTATTCAAAACAATAGCTTCTTGATCATAAGCTTCATTTTATAAAAAAATATAGCAGATATTCAAAAAAACTAGATTAATGAAAACCAAATGAAGATATATATACAGAGGCACTACCAAAGGAAATCAATGAAATTAACTGCCAATTTCCTTTGAAATCTTCATTTTGTATACGTTTGTATACCCTTTAGTAATAGATTTATAATCAAATTTGATCACATTCATCACACGCGAGCTAGATTATAATTATATTTAATCTTTGTACCATAATTACAGCCTTTATAGATCAATATCTAATTAACTAAACGCAGATATAATTGATTCACAGCAAACTAGCAAAGAAATCTCTTTATTGCCGATAGTCAACTACTCGATATCAGTTTCAATAGAAATACGATTATGGCTKGTATATATTTATAAGAAAGCGTGAAAGTTTTRCTTGCGYTGTGATTGAAAATTGCACGCTCGGATGAAAATGTTATTACGTTGGRTTTTTGTTCTTTTATGTTGTCATTTACACCTTTGGTATGGGCTAATTGATATTTAAGAGAACAAARGAYTATTACGAAATGTAAGATCCTTTGCCGGGATAAATGCGTAATGCAGTATAAWTCTGGTTTMCAAGTTTCCAAAGTTATTTCATCGCAGGATCAGGATTCACTGAGCATTCTGAAGGATTAAACGAAGTTGTTCTTTAATTGTAATGAAAGGCTATAACATAACAAGAGTAAGTTTTCCGTCTCTTTCAACTTTATAATCTAATCACTTTGCTAGTAATCTTAAATGATCTTGTCAAGTTTTGTGATTCTTCTTAAGAATAGCAACAGAYAGAAAGACTGAAAAGGCTTTATTGTCGTTGGTTAGAAATTATCGTGTACAACTTGTAAAACAGATATCTAAAAAATACATTTAAACTTTAGGTTGCATAATCAGATAGTTGAGAATACTGGGAAGCTGGCGGAACTTAACTTAACCAGTACGCTCTAAGAGCGTTTGCTCGCGCCCCTGTTAATGTGATTTTTATCTTGGAGTTCATTGTCCTCACTTAGTCTTTGGATRTTTATGCCCAATTTTCGCTTCTTCTAATCCTTTATTTCTATAATTTGCAAATTACGAGAAGTTTGTCTATACGTAAAAATAATAAATTTAAAAGAAATTATAAAAAAACTTAAAAAAGTAAACGAAAAGGAATATTTCTTAGAAATATATATTTCATACATTCTTCATTATAATTTTAAATTTAAAAATAAAAAAAGTAGATCTGCAAATCCAGCTGTCCGAAAATAATTTTTGACTGATTTAGATTCAGGAAGCCGGGGTATTGACGTCTAAATTCATTTCAAATTCCAGCAATAACGGTGTACATCAAATGAATTGGACAGTGATTCATGCTATTCGGGGAGGCAATTTACTTAACTGCTGAATGCAGTTCTACAATAATAATTTAAGCGATGATATCCGTATCCCTCAGTGCTAGTCTGGAAATACTGTTATTCAATAATAGCTCATCCCGTAAGCTCTAATGTCGCCTTCCTCAAAACATATTATATCTTGCAAATACTCCAGTTTCGAGATCTTGTTCGCGTAGCTTAGCCTGAAAAGCTTGTAATATATTCTTTTATCACATCAAAGACCTATTGTAATGCACAACTTTGTAAAAAAAGAAATGAATAAATACAAAAATACAAAAGCAAAACGAAATTTTAAAAAACAATAGATGTTTGTGTGTAATTTAGGCTAATAATGCGACGAAAAAGAGATTTTGAAAYTAGAGTATTGTAATGTCTTTGGAGTGCCGTTTCTTCTCGCACTTTTCAATTTTTTTTCTGTTTAAGTGGCAATATAAAAGTTTTCGCTCCTTGATTACATATGGTTATCCAGCTCAAAATATTCCTCATAAAATGAGAAAAATAAGAGCTTTCAAACCAATTTTATCTGGTCCTCTTCCCACTAAAATTCCTTACGTCTCTACCAGCTGTCTATCATATCATAATTATAAAATACCGAAAATCATACACTAGTTCACCGCTAAAATGTAGTATCGAATATGAGAGATAAGTGAGCTTCCCTTTGCCATTTATTTTATCTTCGTTTCCCCAATCAACACTTATTTGTAGCCAAACATTTTATCACTCGTCTGCCAGACAACCTAATAATAATTGAACTGAAACAAGAAAGGTTACTGATTAATCGTTTGGTCGTTAAGCTTATATTTACCCAAAGGTCATTAGCCCTAGTAGCTAAAGGGCTTTTTATACTATGTCCATCTTATGTGTACGGCTATTCTATTATTCTATAGATGACAGACGCTKCTTAAGAGGAACGAAAATGAAGTTTTAAACCTTACGAGGACTCGTAGCTTACATTTATTTGAAGGTAATCATATATTTCTATTAGTCAAGTGTGTTCGCAAATTCATGTACCGGTTCCACTTCAAATCCATTGAAATCTTCTATCGTTTTGATATGAATTGTTGYAAGAAGTTCGTTATCAAAAAAGGAAAATTTAAAAAAATGTTAGCATCTCATTTCTTTATTAATATCGACTTCAATATCCAAAAAAGGCAAATTTACCCGACTTAAATTGTCATGAAAAAATTCAACGTTGAAAATTAAACCCTTTTTTTAAAAAGGCTATTTTCTTTGGTGCATTTTAAATTATTTTTAAAAATTGTGTTATTTAAAATACAATGTACTATGACTTCGAAGTGTCGTCCGCTATGTTGTTTGACATGAGTTTTCATGGCGAGTATGTAAAAGTGCCTATGACGCCTGACAAAATAATTTCTGATTCTCTGTGAGCTGATTCTATATAAAATAAATAATTGAATGGTGAAATATTTCTACATTTCAGTGTTGCGTCTTTGAGTTTTGAAGGTTTGCTCTTCCAATAGGCTAATGAAAATGACGTCTTCATTAGATATGCGAACTTTGAAACAGTCGCTCAAAAATGTTTTCATGAACGCCATCTGGGAATATGGTTATTCCCTACATTGCATACGATAAATTCAATGTCATGAAACCATTTTTAAGTGACTCCTTCAAAGTTCGAATATCGAATGAAGCCTTCTTTGATGTCATTTTCGTTAACATATTGTGAGATTGAACCTTCATAATTCAAAGACGCAACAATAAAATGCAGGAATATTTCACCATTCAATTATTTATTTTATATAGAATCAGCTCACAGAGAATCAGAATTTTTTGGTCTGGCGTAATAGACACTTTAATGCCCAAACCTATACGCACATTGAAAATAATTGAAAATAACTGACATTATTTATTTTTCTTCAGACTTTCACAAGTCATCGAAATGTCTTCATCATCAGCTTTCCCAAGCAAAAACATGACTTCCAAGAATGGAACTTTCGTCCCCCCCGGTCCACCAGGTGGAGGTCCACCGTTCCCAATTACCACAGAAGAATACATCATCGCCGTACTGTTGTCCATCGTCACATTCTTCATTCTGCTTGAAAACATACTGGTGTTACTTTCTTTCCGAGTGAACCGACGCCTTCGAAATAAAACAAACTACTTCATTCTTTCTCTCGCTATAGCCGATTTGTTGATTGGCATCTTGTCTGTACCATTTTATGTRTACAGCATTACTCAAAAGCCACRCAATGATCCTTTTTATCCATTTTGGCTTGCAATCGATGTCATGATAGGAGTATCAGCCATTATGAACTTGACAATGATTAGTATGGAAAGAGCATATGCTTTGCTGAGACCAATTCAACACAGGAACATAAGCAAAGGTAGCTTACTTTATAATACTTAATCAAATTCATAAATACAGTCT